TATTAATTGAGGCGAGATTTTCACTACAACTGAACAACTAAATACATTCATTTAGTTAACAGTCATTTTCTGTACTAAAACGTTGTGTTGCAGAACCCTTATTTTAGATGAAAAATAAGACTAACCAATTAACAACGATGCTCCAGTAGCTTCAAAGATCGTCATTAAGTCTGATGGAAAGTCCTTGTGTGCATGTGCAAGCATGAGATTGCCAGCAAGAGAACCAACCTTATAAAAAGAATAAAACATTATACAACGACCACAGTATGACTATGCGTTCTGCATGACACAGAAGGAGTTGTAAACATGAGCACAACAAAAAGATTGTACTTACATTTCTTACATGATTATTGGCAACCTGAAGATTAAATGAGATATAAATTACATATAAATATCTAAAATGCTTGATGTAAAAAAGCTGGCAGAGTGTTATCCATAAGCGTTGTTGTCGATATATTGCACATGGCACCGTACCACTCTGAGATGTCTTGCAAAGGGACCAAACGATGAAGATTTGCTGGATTTTGTTTCACAAAGTTTGATGAATGAGTTTAGGGATACACTTCCACCCACAAGAAGATGACTGCTGACTTCCTGGAATGAGTAAAAAAATAATGGTTGTGGTTGTGGTTTGATAATTCAACTGCTCAAYTTCAACTGCACAACTACAACCATGACTACCACAAATGCAAGATCTTGAAAGACTGCGGCAGTGCTATTGAATAACCATATCACTAGTCTAACAATATGGATTGGAAAGGCTGAATATTTGTTACCGTTGAGCAATGTAATTCCTGCACAGCATTGATGTCAACCATGGCTTGGAATGGACCTTCTATCTTATAAACACCTAAACCAATCCGAAAAGTAAAAACCTATCTTATGCAGAAGAAAGTCAGTGTAATGTGATTAAGCTGTAGTGAGCTGTACCGTTTAGTGTAGTAAGATGTATAGTATGTTATGGCATGTTATATTAATGGTGTGTGATGATAATGTACCTTTTCCAGTGTTTCCAGCAATGAGTTTGACATTGTCCTGCCTGTGTTTTTCCAGGATGGCATACAGTTGAGCAAGTGAAGTTGGTGAGTACCACTCAACACCAGATGTGTTTTCTGGYACMGWTCTTTGTCGTTTGCACTTGCAGTCATCACATTTGCCGACACATTTGCTTAGCTCCTGTAATGATGTTACAAAACATGATCATCAACAAGTAGCAAAAAGACAAGTAAGAGATGCTATACAGCCACACAAAACAATGCAATGGTGTATGTAACATCAAGCAAATATATAGCTGGAACATATAGAGTCCAACATTCACCTCAATGTCTATTGGTTGAGCATCAGCAGCAAAAGTCTTCATAGCATCAAGAATAGGACGATAACCTGAAGGGAAAAAGCAAGGGCATGATATCCATATATGTAAGCACAAAATACCAAACTGTAGAAAGCAATTGCTATTATAACTTGTTTATTTTATAAAAACAGCAATACCTGTACAGCGACAAATGTTTCCATCAAAACTGTCTTCAATCTCCTGTTTGGTGGGTTTTGAATTTTCTTTTAGGAGACTAAAAAAGCAACATCACAATTTACTCTCATCTCCAATGGAAGTAAATTCAAGCAGATCTGTAAATACCTGTACATAGTCATCACCATGCCTGGAGTACAAAAACCACACTGGCTGCCATTGTGCTCTGCAACTCTCTTCTGGATTGTATGAAAACCTTTTTTACGGCTATCAAAGAAATGAAAAGCTTTACAAAAGGAATGCAGGGATAATCTCACACAGAAAGACTAATATATGATGACAGTGTAATTATAAATGCAGATGATTTGTATGATACAATTGTCAGATGTGGGGGAACAGCAGCGGCGGATCCAGCTGGTGGGTGCAGGGGGTGCGCACCCCCTCCTGAGATCTGTATCCTTCAGTACTTTTCTTACTTTGTATCTTCATGGTAATGGTTTTTGTGGGGTGCACCCCATCCTGAAAGCCCTACACCCTTCCCTGAGGAAAATCCTGGATCCGCCCCTGAACAGCATGACCTTGTGACCATCACCTCTACAATTAATGTTCACATCTTGTGTTGACAACCATGCTGAGGCCAAAAATGTTGCTCACATGTTATTATGTCATGTTATTAATTACTCCCATCATCATTTCTTACTTTCCAATTCCTTCAGCAGTTGTAACTTCACATCCATTGGCAGCATACAGAGGAAAAAGGCACTGAAACAAAAACAACAACAAAAGATTACCATTAACTGTTTATTCTACCATAAAAAAATATTCAAAAAGTGAAAGCAAGTGTTTTGGTATACTCCTGAACACATTTATGTTTTTATTAAAATGTTATGTGTGTTTTGATAGAGTTAAAGTTATGTGTGCATGTCTTACAGCTGCCAGGAGTGTATGACTAGCTGAGTTTTAAGTCCCTAGTATAAAAGACATGCAAAAGGCCTATTAAGATACTCTGATTGGTCTAAAAGCTCATGCATCACTATTGAGTCTTATAATTATGTAGTGCTCTTACACAAATAACTCAACTAAACAGGGAGATTTATTTACTTACAGAGTTGACTGATAGAGTGATTTCTCTTCCTGTTAATGGATCAATTCTTGTCARYGCAACAACACAGCAGCCACATCCACCTTCATTGCACATCACCTTAGTGCCTAGCAACAAGAAATGATTGACATAAGAGTGAAATACTTAATCTAATTAATTTATGATCTTTCAAATTAACACGCCACTACCACAAACAACTGCATACTAACCCTTAAAGCCTTGCTGATTACGTATGAATTCATTGAGGCTAGTGTGAGGGTCTGGATTATTCACATCAAATTGTACACCATTAATGTGCAGTCTCAGTGTGGCTACTGATGGAGGCGCAGCACCTGGTTGGACTATGCCATTGTAACAATCCTCGAGGATTTTACGGTTTTGATCATTGAAAAGAGATTGTCTGAAGTTGTGATATTTTATATTAGTAACACATTGCTGACCCATGGCTGGGATACAAAAATATGACATCATCTGCTAATTGTGCACCCCCTTATTTGTATGCCCTTTATGTTTATAGTTTTATAGTAAGGTACATTTGTGCAGTTAAAATATTTCGAGACGTTYAAGCTCTCATTTTGTCAATAAAGCCGCCAATGGCAACAAAACTTGAAGATCGATTCTTGACAACCAGAAGCGAGCACCTGCAGTTAAAAGACAAGTCTAGCTGCAATTATGTAACATTGGTATGCGTGGCTAAGTGGTAGTGCCTTTGATTTCTAATTCAGAGGTCTGAGGTTCGAGGCTTGAGGACTCGAGGAGCAGACATTTCTTTAGATTTCTTTCTTTGCCAAAAAAWWAATAAATTCAATCAAATATAAAACAGGGAACCTGGTAACGGTAAATGAATGCGTAAATTCTTAGAAAACAATGAGAATAAATTAAAAGTTCTGAACGCAGGTAACGCAGGCTCAAGTTTTCAGGAAAGTGAGTGACTGACTGAGTGATTGAGTGAGTGACAGATTGGTCCCCTCCAATAACTCAATAACGGGTGAATTAGGAATCTGCGGTGACGTGGAACCAAAGTATAACGTTAAAATATATTTATACTCTCATAGCTGCGTGTCAACCCTCCCAGATTATCTGCGAGTCTCCAGAATTTGAGCCTCGTTTCCCAGTCTCCCGTATAAGAGGATGAAATCTCCCGGATAATCCTCAAACTTGAAAAAATATGGTCATGCCTAATCGGCTAACGCGTTTCTATAAACGTTTCATTGTTCGTTGTACAGTTGAATTCTTAGAAACAAAACTTCTTTTTCGGCCCACATGATTTGAATTGGGCAATAACCAGCCTAGTACCCAGGCGTTCCTCGTTTCTCTTATTGTAATGACGTTACAGAGTGACTGTCTCGGGAACACACAACCTCGTACCCAGGGTCTCCCTTCTCGCTATTTTCAAAATGGCGGACGCTCGGGAGACCCTGGCGGAGGCTGGTCACGTGATACCCAGGAATCGTGGGTATCGGCCCCAGGCTGCTCGTTTGAGCCTTGAAACGGCCAAAAAAATAACTGAAAARAAAGTGGAATCGAGTAAAAACAAACACGGCGGTTCGATCGAATCAAAACAGAATATTCTGATCTTTTTCTGTTAAATTATAGCCCCAGCTGTACTCTGCTTCAATGATGTTCGTGATTCAAACGAAAAAAAAAGACTTTACTTAAATTTACAACTCCATTGAAATGCTTTTCTTATGTTTGTCCAACCAAGAGTGGATGTTCTCCTTGTCAAGCCCGCTTAGGACTGAAACTCCTTCAAGTTGATATATTAGTAATTTTATAAAACATCAGCAAGTTTCCCTGAGAAAGTTTTTTTCTTTCAATTGAAGAGATATGGTTTTTCTTGTGTTATGCTAGAAAAGAATTAAACCAATTATTAATCAACAAAAGGCAACATGTCAAGAAAAAATGCTACTTAAGGACAGATAAAATATAGATGTTTTTTTAACAAGTAAACTTTTGATAAAAGGTTGGCATCAATTTGAGTGCAGACAATAAACTCATGAAACATTAGTTATATTAAATTTTAATATTCTAGAGTGGTTTTCCGTCAACCCTTGATATGAAAAGAAATAGACCAACTAGTTAGTAGCAATGAGTACTAGACTAGTCAATATAACTTTTAGACATATAAACTATAAACGAATAGCTAACAAACAACAGTATGAATAAAGATTGATTTTTAAAGCCATTTTTATATTTTTCCCCCTCGTAAAAAATAGACAATGTTATTAAAAATAAATAAACAAACGTCTGCATTTTACTCTTTATTGAATGTCTATTTTTATTTACGAGGGATAAAAATATAAAAATGGCTTTAAAAATCAATCTTTATTCATAAAACTGTTTATACTTATTAAAGAAAAAAGAAAAGAAGGAGAAAGTCTTGAAAAGTCTCAAGAAATGAAGTAGAAAAAATTTTGGGCTTCATGAGGGCTCGAACCGCGAGCCACACAATACTTTGACACCGCCGTGAAAGCAACACAACTGTGGAGCCTGGGCGCCCTGTGATTCAGTTTTGATTCGATTGAACCGCCGTGTTTGTTTTTACTCGATTCCACTTTCTTTTCAGTTATTTTTTGGCCCGGTTTCAAGGCTCAAACGARCAGCCTGGGGCCGATACCCATGATTCCTGGGTATCACGTGACCAGCCTCCGCCAGGGTCTCCCTCCCGAGCGTCAGCCATTGAAAATAGCGAGAAGGGAGACCCTGGATACGAGGTTGGGGAACACATTTTGTAAATAGCGAAGAGCGGGGTCCTGGGGGCGAGGTTGTGTAGGCTGGTAGAGCATCGGTAGTGCAAATCCGAAGGTCGTAGGTTCGAATCCCAGCGAGGTCGGAATTAATTTTTCCGAATTTATTCCTAAGGGTCTTTCTCCCGGAATTGCCTCTTTCTATAAGTACTATAACTGTCTTTCATTTCTATATCGTGTTTCGGGAACGCGAATAATGCCAAAATCCGCCAAAATGGCGGACGAAACCGTTCGACTTGTTCAGAAGCAGCTGCTGTAGATCTCGATTGGCTTTGTTTTAAAGAATGTTGTCATGAATCAAAAAAGATCATTTAGGTGAAAATCAAGTATAAAGAAACAAATATCAAGAATTTTGAAGTAGAAATTTTCTCATARCAATAGTGTCCAGCGCAAGCGTTTCGAAAATCGGATTTCACCACAGGAAGCCAAAATCGAACAGTTAATGTTAGAATCATGGTTTCACGAATATCTCATTAGACTTATAGTGATGACGTCACAAATATAGATAAAAAGAAATCTACACTTGATTAGTCGGACTAGCCCAAGGCTAGGTCGACTTAAGTTTTACCTTTTAATCAATCTATGTATCATGTCGCGTTTTGGGTTCCCTGAGTTATCACATGACCGGAAGTTCAAACGTATAGATGTACGAATATCGTTAGTAAATGTTAGATTCTACTTGCGCTTTTATGTGATAAAAAACTATTATTCGTTTACAAATGTGATATCTGTGATCTCATCGGAATGCATCAGTCTAGGCATCAGAAGTATGCGCATGTGCGGGTCGCATGGAGCTTCGAGTAGTATGCTTGCGGAACTGAATTCTAGCGCTAGACAGTCTTGTTTGGGCAAAGATTTCAAATTAGAACAAGAAGAAAGTTTGTTTATCAATAACAAAAAGACGACTTTGATTATTTTATAGGCATCTTTTTAAAGTATTTATTTTCTTGTCCTGAGAGGTCAACAATTGTATTAGATATGATATCACTTAGCGATATCTAGTCAGTTGTAAGTTGTTCGTAGGGTAATAATTACATGACCTTTTAGGTCAAAATCTAGATTTCTATCGTTTTGAAGTCGTTGCAGAGAGCACTACAAAAAGAACATCGTATCGAGTGAATAAGCGGTAACGCATTCTTGCTTTCACTATGTATTAGAAGTAGAAAATAATATTCTAAGCCATAGTATACATTCAAAAATAGCTAGTCCGACTTCACGCTCCAAGAGCGTCTAGTTTTAGTACAAAACCGACGACGTCATGTCATCATGTGGGTTTGGGGGAGGGCAGACCCAAAAATGTTTTGTTGCGTGCCCACCACGTCCCGCTATAACGCGTTCGAAGTCACTGCCAAGGTCGACGAGTTTTATCGATTTCAACCCGCCGATTAAGCTCAGCAAAAACGCTTCACCTTTTTCAAGTAAAGAAGAGTGTTTTCAAATCGGGAATCGTACTTGTTTTATTTCATTTTCACAAAAAAAATTAGACTGTCGGGCAAATAGTCTTGTGGAGGTTGACCGGCAGCTGTCGAGCTTGAAAATTTCTGAGCTGGGATGTACTACAGTTTAATACACATAAATAACTACTTAAATCACAGTGCTGCTTGATTTTTTAGAATGAAATGTGGAATGTACTTCTGTTTTAGAGTGCATGCCACATGAGTGCCTAATAAGATTGAGTTACATTGTAGTATTCGAGTTTCGTGTACGGAATGTGTCCACAGTTGTGTCACGAAGATCTATAATGAAATCAACAACTAAAGTGAAGTCTTCGGCTCGAGATTGTAAAATCCCATGTTGTAAATATTACTTGTTGTAGTTTCTCTTTTTCAAAGCCATCCCGCATTGCCCATTGTGCTCAACATGACTCAATTGCTTGGGTCATGTCATGCAAACGATTATACGTAAAATACAATAGGAGGAATGTTTTGAGAATTTCAGAAAGCATTGCTTACCTTTTTGTTAGAATATCAATAATTACCCTGCACCATGTTGCAACTGGACTTGCAACACCTTATATGATCTAAACTTTATTTGATCTGAACTACGATTATCGATCTAGTATAACGCCCATTGCTTACCCATCCATATTTCATCAAATCTTCAGAGTCTTCGTTTTGAAAAAGTTCTGGTTTTGGACGAAGAATATGGAGAAACACAGCGAAACAGAGATGTTCACTGAGCAACTTCGGTTTCATATAGTTTAACCCAGGAATTTAGCAATGCAAAGGTCATCGACTGTTAAGGTCATCATGAAAGCAGTTCAAATTACATGAAACCATGAAGCGATTAATCTGACTTCAAAAACAATTTTGTCAAAAATAATTTTTTGGATTCATCACACTTTTAAAATTCCTGACAAAGTCTACTTTTCTCTATGATGTCAAAAATAATAATGCAACAACAACAAAAATAGGCAGTCTAAGACTGCATGTGACTCGGGCTGAATAAATACATGTGAAAATTAATAAAAATGAGAAAGGTAGCTGTTTATATATGTATG